TCTGTTGGCAGTAAATTGAGTGTTGGCAACAGCGCTCCTTTCAGAGACAACTGGGACTAGTTGACCTCCAGAGGTCCCTTCCAAACCGTATTTCTATGACTCTGTTATATTGTACTTTTTATTCAATACTACTTGCTAATAGGGCACAATATTATCACTGCGCAGAATCCTCCATTTTAGGTTCCTTACAGGCACAGAAAGGTAATGCCTGATTTTTCTGATTCTTCAGGTCAAATAGTTATATTTATATTTTTTTATATATATATATATAGTGAAAGTCAAATACTACCATTATGACCCTCCTTAGCTTCCTGTCTACTGAAATAATGTAGAGAAATTGAAGTTCAGTTCACTCACATAGATTTGTGGCACTGCTTCAGACCTTAAAATACAACCAATAAGCCTACAAATTGAGTGAATAAACCACATCAGGTCTCGGCATTAGCAAGTTGTTGCCCCCACAATGCCCTGTTACTTAGAACTCTAATTGCCTGCTTTCTGAAGACTTAGAATCTATTTGAATAAGTCGCCACTTGTAGCAAGATTTCTAAATAAAAATATACTCAGAATTTCTTTAGAATATCTGTCCTTCTTATCCATAATCCAAAATAGAGAAGATATTAAATTTAGTTATTAAATAAACTATTTAGTTACAAAACCACAGAAATTTTTAAAGCAATCCAAACATCAACTTTAATCCAAATGATATCTTTGTGACAGAGCCAAAAGCAGTAAAAGTTACTAATCAGAAACAGAAGAGAGGCAAATAATATTTTGGCTAGGAGTTTAAAAACACATTTTATAATAAAAACATCTAATATTACTATATAGCATGAAGACAGTCTCAAATTTACAACTACTTTGCAAAAACTACAGGCGAGGTAAGGAGAATTTATGCCTATCTGTACACCTACTCAGCTACCAAGAGATAGCAAAGCAAGCAAAAGCAGAGCCAGTTACAAGTGACACCATATTGAAAATGTATCTACAGGGGTTTTTAGACTTCTTTCCTTCTTACTTCCCAGCCTTCTCAGCCCTGACTTCAAAGCTGTTCCCTTCCATTGCATAGTTTCTCCAAGTATCTAGAAAAAAAGACAAATTAAAACAAAATAGCGACAGGAGAAAAACTGCCAGCAAAACCTCAACCCTGGATAGGGGAGAGCAGACTTCGGGCTGCTGAAGGAGCTAGTTAGTAAGGTCCCCTGGGAATCTGCTTTTGAAGGTATTGAGGTCCATGAATACTGATCACTTTTTAAGAGCCATCTCTTAAGAGCGCAGGGGCAGGCAATTCCAAAGTGTGGGAAGTCAAGCAAGCAGGGCAGAAGGCTGGCTTGGCTGAGCAGGGATCATCTTCTACAACTTAGGCAGAAAAGGAAAGCCTATGGACATTGGAAGCAAGGACAGTCGACACAAGAGCACTACAGAGACGCTGTTTGCCACTGCATGGAGAAAATTCATCCAGCCAAAGCTCAATTAGAGTTTAAGCTGGCCGCCATTGTGAAAGACAACAAAAAGGGCTTTTTTTAATATGTTAACAGCAAAAGGAGGATCAGAGATAACATTGGTCCGTTACTTGATGAGGTCGGTCACCTCACAAATAGGGATGTAGACAAAGCAGAGACATTTAATGCCTTCTTCGCCCCTGTCTTTAACACCGATGATAGGCCCTGGGACTCCCGGAACCCTGTGTTGGAAGACTGTGACTGGGGGGATGATAAACTCCCAGCCAACTCTGTACTTGTTTGAGACTTGCTGCTCCAGCTGGATGCACATAAGTCTACGGGGCCCGATGGGATTTGTCCCAGGATACTGAAAGAGCTGGCTGATGTTATTGCGGGACCTCTCTCCATTATTTTTCAACAGTCTTGGGAGTCTGGAGAGGTCTCAGTCAACTGGAAGCTGGCAAATGTTGTCCCAGTTTTCAAGAAAGGTAAGAAGGAAGACCCTGGGAATTACAGGCCCATCAGTCTCACTTCAGTGCCTGGTAAAATTATGGAGAAGCTTACTCTCGAAGTTATTGAAAAACACTTGAGAGACAACGCAGTCATTGGTCATAGCCAACACAGGTTCACGAGGGGAAAGTCCTGCTTAACCAACTTAATTTCTTTTTATGACAAGGTCACCCATCTAGTCGACCAAGGGAAGCCAGTAGATGTGGGTTTTTTGGATTTTAGCAAAGCTTTTGATACTGTCTCTCACAGTATCCTTCTGGACAAAACGTCCAGCACACAGCTAGATGAGTCCATAATACGTTGGGTGAGCAATTGGCTGACGGGTCAGGCTCAAAGAGTTCTAGTAAATGGGCTGGCAGCCAGTCACCAGTGGGGTTGCCCAGGGCTCAATTTTAGGGCCAGTGCTCTTTAATGTTTTTTATAAATTATCTGGATGCAGGAATTGAATATACATTAAGTTTGCCAATGATACTAAACTAGGAGGAGCTGTGGACTCCCTAGAGGGTAGAGAGGCCTTACAGAGAGATCTGGATAGACTGGGGAGCTGAGCAATCACCAACCGTATGAAATTTAAAAAAAGCAAGTGCCAGGTTCTCCACCTGGGATGGGGTAATCCTGGTTATACATACAAACTGGGGGACGAGAGGCTGGAGACCACCCCTGCGGAAAGAGATCTGGGGGGTTGGGTTGATTCCAAGTTGAATATGAGTCAACAGTGTGCCCTGGCAGCCAAAGGGACCAACCATGTCCTGGGGTGCATCAAGCACAGCATTGCTAGCTGG